CCTTTTTGAATGTTGGCGTTTAAGTTATTGAACTTCACTTGTTTTTATTGTCCTACGATTAGGAAAGATAAACGTCGGAATAACGTGAAAATGAAAGGCTTTTAGCATAGTTAGCGTTCAGGAATTAACTGGTTTTTCTGTATGTGATAATAAGTTTGCGTGTTTGAGAACAGGATTCAATTAAGTCTTAATATATACTTTTTTAACATGATCGTATTTAATATTTTCTAACTGGAAAGATAAAATATTCGATTGGGTAGTCTTTTTATCATAGATGAAATAAAAATTTATTATTTATATTTCGGCGGTAGAGAACTGACTGGTTTAGTTTTTATACAAAAACATTGTACACAACTTGAATAAGCAGTTATGTTTTAAAAATTTTCTTTTTAGAAACAGGAGCGCCGGACTTAACGAAGTTGCCGCCCTTGCGGCTAAAAAAAAAATTGCCGCCCCTTAACATTTTTTAATTAAAAATTACGGATATAAAAAAACATTTATTTGAATACAGGACCAACAACAGAATAGACCGACAGATCAGCACAGAACATAAAATAAATATTAAAAATATTTATATAAAATGACAACAAAATGAACAAAAAAACTATAAGGTCTTTTATAATAGCTTTATAAAGGTTTCCCTACGTACTTTTTGTTTGCGAAAATTATCAATTACTTCTTCGTAATTGATAGTTTTTAAAAGGTCGACCTCAATATAATAAACTGCCAAATGATTTAGACGTTCTGTTTCCATAGTGGACCGTAAATGAGTTTAATACGTTTCAATGCGTTCAGCAGAACAGTAGAATAGTAATAAAAGTAAGCATGTGAAGATTCTTAATGCTATGAAAGTATTTGGAAACGGGTCTCGAGTGTTTTTTTTATAAATTACTTTCTTTAAGAAGCTCTCTTAGCAGATGGTTTTGTTGACTTAATGCATTTTATAAATTCACGAAAATGTATTATTAATTCATTAGGCATTGACCCATCTAATTCATTTGATAACAGGTTATTAAATGTCTGACTTATCGGTAATGTCGTCAATACTTAAAGTGGACAAATCACTAAAGAAACCAAATTTGGTTGAAATTGTAGGCACTTTTCCTGTAGGAAATTTCAAGGATTAATTTATCAATAATAACATTAAATACATTTATCCTAAAATCGTCCCTAGCGTCAGAGTTTCATTATCACTGGTTTTAAAATGTCGTTTCCGTTTCACTCTTTATCTGGCGCATATTCTTTCTCACCGAACAATTCTATGGCCCTTCTTTCATATTCCTCAAATGATTTAGTATTATCTAAATTTCTAATTTCAGAAAAATATTTTCCAATGAGCTATATAAATCTGCAGCAAGTTGTAGATCAATATCCACCAACTTTTTATTGACCGCATCTAATCTATTTAAAACGTCTGTCCAAAATACCGCCATAAAACCCATTTCTAGGCTTTTGAATTGTTTAAGGAGACTAGAAGCATCTATCCAAAAATATCCTTATGGGTTTTTCGCCACTGCACTGCAAGAAAAATCTACAAAATAAAATAGTTATTTTTTGTAAACACTTCTGCATTAAACCTAAACGGACGCTGCTTGTCAGAAGTTGTGTTTACAGTAATAAAAATTTACCTAACGAAGAAAAAATGCTTAACGTTTCGGAAAGATAACATTATAGAAGCATCTAATCGGGTTTTAGGCTTTTCGGTATCGTCTTCAGAAATTGACTCCAACGTGGATTTTATTTCATTGGAAGACAAAGAATAGTGATTGGCAAGCTTCATTTCGTGCAGACCAACGTGTTTTTGATAAATTTTTTAATGTTTTTGAATTTATTTTTTTATATTCGAGTTATGTATGTATTTATTAACTAGATGCATGGCACAATGCAGTAAAAAATAACCCAAGCGAATTATATATTTAAACAACAATAGTTAAGTAAATAAATATGTAATCGGTTAAGGCTATATTCGAAATATTTTATGAACAAATAAAAGTTAAAAAAAAAGATAAATATTGTGGTATGGCTCAAAAGTTGCCGCCCCTCAAAATCTGCCGCCCCAGGCCCGGACCTAGTTGGCCTAGACCTAAATCCGGCACTGAGAAACAGGTGTAAACCTGTTTAAAACATCATTACTTATTTTAAACTCGCTTAAACAGGCAGCAAGTGAAAACATATTTTCCTTTCAACTATTTGATAGCAAAATAAAACACTAATTCACCACAATACACTAAAGCACTCTACTTTTAAACATTGAACACGCGTCTCGCTAACCATGTTAGCCAACTATAATAGTTAACCAATTTTTAGAAACGCGCATTCAGTGTTCAAAAGTAAAGTTTTTGATGGTCTTCCCACGTTGCAACACGTGGGCCCACGTGCGAAAGAGTGTACACATGAGATATGGGACAGATGGATGGCGTGACGTGAGGTGGCATGTTGCCTAGTGTGTACGTAATACATGTAACTAAATTGAAAAACTTACGCACAGATCTTCATGACGTGGGGTAGCACGGCGCCGCGCGGCGTGGCGTGGCGTGTTGGCTAATGGGGTCCCGGCATTAATCACTTGTCAATTAAAAAAATATACAATTAATATTGCAAATTATATTTTATCCTCTCAGTATCTCTATTTAATTTTTTGATTATGTAACGAGCACTTTGTTTACTCACTTGTTTAGTCGAACTGCTTGAATCCATTTGTGCTTTTGATCAAATCGGTGCGAAAAACTATCAAGCTATAATTCGGGAGAGTTGAATATCCGGAAAAGTTGAGTTATTGAATGCTATTGCACCCAACAACGCCCTAATCACGCTCTCCTTTACGCGTTACATTTTTTAGTCAATTTTATTAACATTTGAAATTGGCACAACACAACACGACTCCTAGTTCGAATTCTTTCTCACTTTTTTTACTACCCCCCTAAACAGCGTTACGTCACACAAACCTCATACCTGAATGTTTTATAATCTCAATAACTGCACTAGCAAAAAAACTAAATAATAATAATAATAGTTCCCGTATATAGCGTTTAACGCCTTGGGAGTAGCAAGGTACAACTTGCCATGCTAGAGCCGTTCGGTATACAAGGAAGGTAATGTGGCTAGCACTACGCTTCAACCGCCTATTATTACCTCCGGATTGTGAATCCCAAGTACTCATTTAAGGCTGAGTCGACCTAGGTACCCAAACTATTTTTATTTTAATAAAAATAGTCGGCTGATGAAATGCCGGGTGTAGGATTCGAACCCATACCTTGAAATTGGTAGACGAGAGCCTGTATTTCTACGCCACCGGGCACCTGCAAAAAACTAAAATACTTAGATATTATGACAAAGCCGCGATTTCAATATTATTTTAATGCAATCGACATGAACTGTGTACTGATAATTTCTTATTTCTTCCGTTGAAGCGCTGCGGTCGGAATTTGTTGAAATCAATTGCATGGTGCAGCCTATAAAGCTTGATTTTCATGCATCCGTTGTCCGACGATACGTTGATACGATATTAATTTTATTGGTAGAATTTAAAGACTTTGATTGGTTAGAAAATAACGCAGGTTTTAAATTTATTGCATTTTCATGCCTCCGTTTATCGGATATACGTTGGTCTTATTTTATATTTTCGTTTCCATAACGATTTTGCTATTTTACTTATATTTTTATTAATGTTAGATTAAATTTGTCAAAAAAGTGTCAAAACGTCTGTTATCGTACATTGCCTGGAAACTTATATGGTAAAATTTTGATAAAATAATTTAGTACTCACTAAAAACACGATATGTCGCTAGTGGTAGGAAAAATAATTTTTAGAGGTTACTAGTTTATTTGGTTGCCTGTGATATGCATATACAGGGTGTTTCCTAATTAATCTAAAAAATAAAAAATCGTTAGAAAACGGCTTAAGGCAGGCTCTTAATAAGTATATTTATTTTTTTCTCGGCAACCGTTTGATGAACAAGGAAAACTCAAAAGATCAATTTTGTTGAAAAAGGATGGCCAGTCAAGAAAAAAAATATATTTTCTTTAAAAAAGCAGTAGTGTACTATTTATGTTAAGCAAAATATCGATTTTTTTTTAATTTTTAACACCCTGTAGATCAGAAAGGAAGTACTTTAGACCCAATGGTTATATAAAAATTATTTTAAGAACAGATGAGGAATCACACCACAATTTTTTAGACTAATTAGGAAACACCCTGTATATTGTCAACTTGACAATGATTGTTGATAAATCAAAAAATATCTTTTCTGTGAAAAAAGCCCGATTTTCGCAGGAAAAATTTTGGTTTTTATTGAATTTGGGCCTGCGTCTGCAAATACCCGGTATGTTGTTTAATATTCTGTCTATCTAAATTTTAAATATCATAGTCAGAAATAGTTTTATTATTTATTAACTGTAAAAATGGTATACTTATAGGTTTTATCAAATATTGTGATTTACTTTCTACCTTGTAGTCAAAATTTATATTTAATAAACTGTAAAATATATATATTCTTATGTTTTATTAAAATTACTCTGATATACTAATATATCAATGTAACTTTAAAACTAAATCCTTTGAAATCAAATATAAACATAAAAAATATTTACAGCAGAAAAGGCGAAGGCGCTGGGTTAAACGTAGTCTCTACTAAGAACACGGAGGGGCGCTTTGGCCCAAAATTTTACTATTAAGTTTCATATCTATCTTAATAGAAGATTATTTTCTTTTATCTATGGTTATCGTATGAACGGGTCCGTTGACGGGCTGAAGTAAAATATTTACGGATAAAAAAAGTGGCGCGAAAACGCTATGATCAATCAGCGCACCGTCGGACCATCGTATCAACGTATAACGGATGCATGAAAATCAAGCTTAAACAAGGAATTTAAAAAAAAAACAATACATAATATTTCATCACTGAAGGGCTCATATAATAATATTATGTCAAAAGCCAGAAAATACTCAAAAGTAAACGTATTTCGCCTGCTTTCTAAACTAATAAGTCCTTTTGTTCCAGATATTCCTCGAAACATGGTTCATGCGTGACGACCTTTCACCAAAATCACCATGACCCAGTCCCACTACTCGTTGCGATGGAACAACCATCAGTCTCACATCCTAGCCGCCTTCGAAGCCCTCCTCCAAGCCGAAACCCTGGTCGATGTGACGCTGGTCTGTGCGGAAACTTCGGTACGCGCCCACAAAGTAGTTCTGAGCGCCTGCTCGCCATTCTTCCAGCGAGTGTTCTCCTGAAAACCCCTACAAGCACCCCGTCATCGTGCTCAAAGACTTCTGCGGCTGGAAGTACAGGCCATCGTCGATTTCATGTACAAAGGCGAGATCAGCGTGGTGCAGGACCAGTTGCAGAACTTGATCAAAGCGGCGGAGAGTCTGCAGATACGAGGCCTGGCTAATCAGGATCCGTTTGGTGTGGATAAAGAGTCGATAAGTACGGTGAATCATACGCTGACACCGTGAATTCGCCGAATGATTACGACAGGCAGTTTTACACTAACGGAAATAAGTTTCCGGATGTGAGTGCGAGGAATCCGGTGGAGAGAACGTCGCCGTTTTCGCCTATAGGGAACAATTACGATGCGCCAGTTAAGCTACCTCATATGCCCAGGCTCTCGTTTCCTGATGCGCTGATTCCACGGTCCGAGTGTCAGTCTCCCATCCAAAGAAGAAAACAATTAAAGTATGTATATTTTTATATCATTTTTTGTTATTGTTTCAAATTATGTTTTTACCTCTAAAAGACGGTGGTACTGCTCTTATTTTAAGTTTTAATCCACCTCAAGTTTGCTTATTAGAGATAAATAATTTATATAGTTCCGACGCATTTCTTTCAATGACAACTTCAATTCCTTGTAAGACATTTTTTTAACCATAACCATCAACGATTATGACCTTGTAGGCTATCTTATTTGTTTAGTTATTTAGTTTTAGTTGTATCATAATTATCATTATCCTACTCAATGCTATTAATTGGAATAGTTCTTAAACATTATGAGGCTACACTAGCTCTTCCACATACCCTCAAGATACCTAGATAAGATATTACGCACGTAGTGGGCGGAGCTAAACAGAAAATTACTATCCGGTGACGTCATGCGCGCGGAGAACAGATTTGCGACCGCCAAGGATCTTATCTAACCTTCTTGTATCGTCAGCATGAGAAAAATAATATGGCGTTATTATTACATAATAACTTACTTAACTAAACATACTTGGTAATATTTGAGGGGTAGTTATATCTCCTTGGAATTTGACTTTCGAAAAATCCGTTTGCCAAAAATAAGCTTTTTATGTCACGCAGAATCGTGGTTAATCAATTACCCAACTTTTTGGAACACCCTGTATAATTTTTTAAAAAATCCTAAAATATGTAAAACAACAAAATAAAATAAACGTGTTTAAGGGTTTTTTTCTGAAAAACTCACCGGTTTTTAAATAAAAAATATTCTAATATTTGAGGGGTGGTTTCGCCCCCTTAGAATTCGAGTTTCGAAAAATCCCTTCTTACCGAACCTCTGCACCCTAAAGTCAATCCGTTTTCCAAAAATCAGGTTTTTACGTCTAGCGCTTTAAGCAGGATCAAGCAGGATCATCATTAATCAATGACCAGATTCTTCGAAACACCCTGTATACATTTTTTAAAAAATCTTAAAATATATAAAAAAAAACAAAATAAAATATACGTGTTTAAGCTTTTTTTCGGAAACTTGACCGTTTTTTAAATAAAAAATATTGTAATATTGGAAGGGTGGTTTCACCCCCCTTGGAACTGGAATTTCGAAAAATCTCTTCTTATCGAACCTCTACACCCTAGAATCAATCTGTATGCCAAAAATGAGCTTCTTACGTTGAGTGGTTTGAGCAGGATCGTGATTAATCAGTGAATCAGTCACTTAAGGATTTTATATATTAGTATAGATAATAAATCCAACCAATGATTTTTTACTCCAAACTTGCTATAGTCTTTTTTCTAAATTAAGGTCTTAATGTTTTACCAAAATTACCTCATTTTGATTACTATTTTGTTACTATTCTAGGCCTAGAAGACGTTCTGGAGAAATGTGCGGACCTCAAGATCTAACCACCGGAACTATTAAAATCCGGATCACCCTGTCCAGAGGAAACGGCCGAGAACCTTTGCATCAATAAAGGAAAGAGGAAAACACATAATAAAGGACGAACCCCTGAAAACCAGTACGCCGGAACCGAGTCTGCGCAGTCCGGAATTGGATTTAAGTACCCAGGGAAATGGTAAGGAGTTTAGATCATCGCCTATATCGTCGGCACCCCAGTCTGTGATGAATTTGAAGCAGGAAATCGAGAACCAATCACCGTTAGGTTTTCCACCGATGCCAACGGTTTCGGCTTTAGCGATGACAAATCCACATACTAAATGTAAGTAAAATATCTATGAATAATCGGCGGCGCTCTGATTGGTCATAGAGTTTTCGCACCACTTTTCATCCGCAAATTTTTTATACCAGCCCGTCAACTGAAAAAGATCTTACAACAACGTACGTTTTGACACTTTTTCGACAAATTTAATCTAACCTTAATAAAAATATAATAGTACAAGAGCTAGCAAAGTCGGAAAAACAAGAATTTTAAGAAAGCTGATTTTTTAATATATCTTCTGCTTCTCCTGACCAAAGTGCGGGCCGCCTGGCTACCGGCAGACTACTGCGGTCACTACTGCGCATAAGAAAAAATCCAGCGGTGTCAGATCTGGTGACCTAGGTGGCCATCTATGGGTCCCCTCCTACCAATCCACTGCTCTAGGTAATGATTATCCAACAACTCTCATACTGGGCGTACATAATGCTCCATCCTGTTGGAAGTGCAGCAAATGCTCATCCAGAAAAATATTTCCATTGGTGTCCCTTTGATTTTCCACCCCTCACGAGTTATAAGAGGTCTATAGCTGTATCTAACATTTCTGCATAAATTTCACCATTTAGATTTTCATTAATGAAGAGAGGACCGATGATATGATTGCCTAATATACCTGCCCAGACATTTATTTTTTGAGGGTATTGCGCCTCTCTAATAATGTGAGGATTGATGTCGCTTTGTTGATCATGCCATTTAAGTAAAAAGTGCATTCGTCACTGAAACAGATATTCTTTATTAACCTGGGCTGAGTAATAATCTTGTCCGTCATAATTTTGCAAAACTCAATACGTCTGTCCGGGTCATAGTCCCCTAATTCTTGAGTAATTAAGAGTTTGTATGGATGTAATTTGTGAAGCGTTAATACTTTCCTGACTGACTCACGCGACAGTCCAGTTTGATCTGCAACTTTACGAAGGGACGTAGTAGGAGTCATAGCAACTTCACCAAGAATCTCAGTCTGAGGGGCTTCATTGAGCAGTCTTGGCTCATTTCTTTTCTTATTGCAAACAAACCCTGTTTCTTCAAATTTAGCTACTAACTCACGAATATGTACTTGTATCTAACATTTCTTTCACGATATATTTCGTTGAATGCGGCCGCCGTTCTTGCAAAGCAGCGATTTTCAGCTCCGTAAATGAAAATCATTTCTATGCGTTCAGCAATAGTGTAAACCATTTTAAGAAACAACACTAATAAATGAAAACTATTAAAATTGTTTATGAAATTAACTTTCACAGCTTATTTTACTGATTCTGGAAGAACATGAAATAAATAATGAACACCAGGAGTCGGAAAATAAAGAACAAGTACCTACTTATCATTTGTTCGAAATATTAGGAATAAGCAAAACGAGAATGTTGTTTTTGAAAACGGCATAAAAATTAAATTACTTCATGTTTTGTAGTGGCGATATCGAAGACAAACATTTTGTTCTATGAGGCGGTGAATGCAATCCGTTTTAAAATTAGATATTAAATACATTTCATTCATTTGTGAGGTTAAGTATCACAATTTTGACAAAATAATAATGCAGTTTATGTAGAATTTTATAAGGAACACAAATATGGTAAAAGAAATAGGGGTTGCCATTTAAAATTTTAGGGGTAGGTACGCTGGGGGTCAAAGGGTTGAAAGTAACACGACAACAAATGCCTCAAAAAATGTCCCCCTTGATATGTAAATTGACGTATTTCGCCAATTCTATTGGTTGAATTTAAAGATTTCGATTAGTTAGAAAATTACGCGAAATACTTTTAAACGAACCTCGTAGATTTATTTAGCTGCTCCTCGAGCAAAATATTTCGACACGATGACTTGCCTCAACGCAGCGACTTTCTGTGTGATGTTCGATTTCGTAAAAACGATGCAGTCGATTTTTCTAAAGGCTTGTTAACACCACTCGGTTAATAGATTATGCAAATGCGTCTTCGGAATTCTTGACCAACCAACCAGCCCATTCTTAATCGAGTTGCAATTTTATTACGATAGAGCAATTTTTTTTTTGCCTTTTAATGTTTGGTGCGGGAAACGATGTTGATTGATTGGGTCAGTCCATTGTTTCAAATTATTACATTAGTTTGTTTAAGGTGGTGAAATGTATGTTGGTGCATTCTATGAAATTCGTTCAATACAACAATATGATGTATTATACCTTATCTCTCTCTCTCTCTCTCTCTCTCTCGATGTCGTGACTGACTCGTAACTTCTTTGGAATGCCTCTATTTCCCTTTCTATTTTCTTCTTCCACATTTCTTGATTTTCAGCCTGGTGAAACGATACGTGAAGGGGTCGGTCTGTGACTTGTTTGATTTGATCAGACCATCTCATAGGCGATCGACCTCTAGTTCTATTTCCCTGTACTTCTCTCATCACTATGAGCTAGAGGTGGGAATTCTAGTTCCTTGGGAGGAACTAGTTCCTTAGTTCTAGTTCCTCCAAAGGAATAGTTCCTTGAACTAGGTCTTTAGTTCACAATAGTTCCCGACTCACATTGACATCCCCCTTGCTTGCTAATGCGTTTCGTTGTCAGTCAGAACTATTCACAGTATGATCTGTATAATTTTTATAATGTACGGAGATATAACAAGACGTGTAATTGTGTATGTTAAAAACATATCGGTAAGTTTTATTGCAGATAATAAAATAAAAAAGAAACTCAAATCAGAATTTAAAAAACTATATCACAAATCAATTGGAGCAAATATTACAAAAATTTTACGAAAAATTGAATTTTCCTCACTTCAAGCTTTTTGTTTTTGTCTAAAAATTCATAATATCTACTTCGTTTTATAAGATATTTCTTAATTTTACTTTTGGGACCTAAAGTGAAACATTCCCATAAAATATTTAAAAAATAAACTAAAAATCAAAAACAGTACCTATCCACGACAATTTTCTGTGGTAATTACGCCGGCTGTGGAAATAGACCAATAAGGCCGAATCCATCGTAGTCGCCTTGTATTATATCTCGGATCTGCCGACTGAATAGATTCCCGTGAACTAGTCTTTTAATTAGTTCCGCTATGTCCGGATCTGATAACATACGGCTGACACTCTCCACGCCTGCCTAGCATTAATCGCGCTGGCCCGATCCATACGTAGACTAGTCTTTTATTTAGTTCCTCTAGTTCCTTTAGGTCCGGATCCGATAACATACGGCATGGCTGGCACTCCCCACACCTTCCTAGCAGGCTAGCATCAATCGCGCTGACTGATCCAAACGTAAACTAATCTTTTATCTAGTTCCTCTAGTTCCTTTAGGTACGGATCCGATAACGTACGGCTGGCGCTCCCCACTCCTGCCTACCATCGGGCTACGCGCGCTGGCCGATCCGTCGCCGCCGCATATAATTATATGTCGGTCACAGTCTCGATCCAGAATAGGTCCTGAGGAACTAGTTCCGGGGTCGAAATAGTTCATTGGAACTAGTTCGTTCACGAACCACACACCTCTATGAGCCTGTCTGCACGTCATTTCCCGCTTTCGCCACGTATCAAAAACACCTTCATCATGCATAATGATGATAGTCTGGTGGTTACACTTAACTCTTCCAATATCGACTGATTAGAAGGGAATCTTGGTGAATCCAGGGTGTAATTATAATTCTAAGCAACTCCTGTAGCACCTCATCAAGCCTAAAGAAATCAATATTTTCGTTCTTAACTCTTTATCTCCACGACTCTGAGCCATATGAGAAGATTTGAAAGACCAACGTATTGAAAAGAGCAACGTATACTTTATTTAGGCAACAGCTTTTTATATCTTCTATTCACTTCTCTCAACCGATCTCAATTAAGTATGTTGTCAGATTGAGGAGCGATCGACAACGCATAACAATAACAATGATTTAAATAATTGGTAGCACAGTGTGATATGACCTTAGATTATTGATTGCCAGCTACTGATGTCAAAACAATTGCAAAATCATACCAATTCATTAACTCTTTAATTTTTTGAGTTCCTTTTATCATCATCACTATTTTCAGCTTATTCAACCATTTCTAGTTATGGTGTAGCCTTCCTCATATGTTTAGGTACTCTCTTTGTTGTTGGACCCATTGTTGTGTGTTGTTGGCTATGCGGGCTCAAGTTATCCCTGCTAATTTCCCAATATTATGGTCCATCTCAGGTTTGGTCTGCTCTAGGTCTCTTAATTCCTCGCGGGTACCATGCTGTAATTTTTGTGGTTCATCTGTTGTCCCTCCTTCTTGCCAAGTGTCTTGCCCATTGCCACTTGAGGGATTTGATTATGTTGATGACATCCTGGATCTGACATCCTGGATGACCTGGATCTTTTGTCGTATCCACTTTATTCTTTACGGTCTTTCTTAGTTATCCCAGCATATTTCGTTCCACTGAGAGTTGTGAGAACTGTAGTTTCCTTATAATGTCTGTTTTGTGTCCAGGTTTCGCATTCATATGTCGTGACTGGTATTACACATTGTCGAATGTTTTCTTAGATAAACCCGCATTCTACATTTGAATATGATTGAGTTTCTCCAATAAGCAATTCCATTAATTAAATCCAGTCTCGAGCCAAGAAGTCCTAAATATGTATTATATTCTTCTAATATTTCCAGTGTTGTGTTATTTATTAGAATGCCCTTTCTTTCTACTAGTTCGTTGTATGATTATTTCGTTTTTCTGAATTCATTTGATATCCTACCTGTTGCTGGTTTAATTTTGGCATTTGTGCTTGTAGTCCTTCAGGACTATTGGCAATTAGGACTGTGTCATCAGCGAATTCTAGATGGTTAAATCTTTAAAGAATGCATCCATTTTTTTCATAAAGAGACTCAGGTGAAAGACTCAAAGTCTCGGTCTCAACATTTATACAATATTAAACTGTTACACGTGCTTCGCTCATATACGAGCATTATCAATACAATTAAATCAATCCAAATATATCGTTCACATTTTTAATTAAACAATTGAGGGATTCATTAGTTACAATTAAAACAACACTGACAGGAGTGTTGTTTTAATTGTAAAATGTGAACGTGTATTTGGATTGATTTTAATTGTATTTGTCTGATGATGCTCGTATATGAGCGAAACACGTGTAACAGTTTAATATTGTATTAACGTTGAGACCGAGACTTTGAGTCTTTTTTCTACTTTTTTAATTAGATGGTTAAGATATTCTCCATCTATTTTTAATCCTTTGTTGGTTCAGTCCAGTTGACGGAAGATTTCTTCTAATGTTGCTGTAAACAGCTTTGGGAATTTCTCATTTGAAACTTGAACTCTTGGTTGGAGTATTTCTTATTACGTTGTAATAAAACTTTAAAAATATTGTGAACTTCAGTATATTAAAAAAGAAGAGATAATTTAAGGTATTTTTATCAAAGAAATACATTAAATTTCTTTGATATCGAAGATATATATTTTAACGTTAAAGCTGATTACATATCTTTCAACAGAATAATGTAATACTACTGAAAAAAGTTTCCATGATATAACTACTAATTCTGACAAAGTTGCCAACTAATTTTATGAAACTACGTGTAAACGAACTTTTAATTCGTTATAATGACGTGTATCACGAAAATAGGAATTTTTATCGAATCAAAAATTCATGCGGCCGAAGTCTTACACATTAAAGAAATGTCCCCGTGTGATTAGACGGTCTCTACCGCTCGTAATATATCTGTACTGATAAATTTTATTTGTTAATATTAACGTCGGAATCGGTAATATCTGATATACATGCACAGAATATGTCTAATTACCGTTTATCGAATATTTATATTCGTGAGTTTCGTCTAATCAATAAGTCAGAAATAAGGAAAATTACCCCTTAATATTGGTTGAATATTTAAGGGACTCAAAAAATACTCATTAGCTTATACGACTTGGTTTCTCCATATATTACGGACATCCAGAGGTTCGATTATTCAATGCAATTGTAGGTTTGCATTGGATTTCAATTTATAGAAACTGCAAATTGAGTTTATGATAGAATATTTAATAATTATTAGCAATTAGATCCGGACTTGTGAGTAATGATTGGAAATGGATACAATAAAAAATTCGAATTATTTTATTAAAAATTACTTATCAAATCAAAATTAAATTAACTAGAGTTATCCTTTAAAGAATCTTTTGTGACTGCATCATAACTTTGGTACATACGTCATATTTTCACATTGTGTAATCACATCCTAAAATACGACTAAATAACCCAACCTGGCCATTCATGCATTGAACACTGCATGTTTATATTAACATTTCAAAAATTCAACTGTACAAATAACAGCGTATTTTAGGTTTCTGCATACTTTTTTTCCATAAAGTTAAATCGTTAAAATGCCTTATATCTATCAAAAATAGTAGATAAAATAGTACCTACTTTTACCGCAAAGGTAGATTAATTGATACTTTTGAACAGCGAGGATAGGTTAAAAACTTTATTTCCCTTTTTCTAATGTTTTAATTGCTTTCCATTTTTGAAAATGTTGTATTTCTTTCATAAGCGTTATTCGATGACGAAGTAGTTTGATATGGCGTTTGTCGTCTCAGCCTGAATATCTGTTGGTAATTTACTTATTTCGTTTTGAGCCATTTCGGTTCAATTCAATCAGCAATCGACACGAAAGAGAATTAAAAAATATTGACTAAAACTGGACAACTAAAGAGACACAGCTTTATTTATTTGTAAATTACATAGAAACCAACGCCAACCCAGGTATCAATATTTTTTCTACTCCCAATAAATTCTGAAATAATAAGGTCTGAATATTTTGAAAAATACTGAAGGTGTCATTTAAAAATCGAAAGTAGTAATTTCCGGTGGAACAGGAAGTGACCAAAAACAATTGAATACGTCAATCATTCCACTTATGTCATACACTAACATACCAAATCTCGTTTTTTTATCTGAAAAAATAAAAAAGTTATAGGGATAAGCTACTTTTGTGAAGCACCAGGTATAAAAGCCGAAACATCGTATAAAATTTCAACATTAAACGTAGTCAACATAACATCAGAATCTACAAGTATATGGTGAACTAATAAGTATAATAGCTTCTTGTAAACCTGAAGTTTGTTTTAATAAATAAAATGTTTCCATTATTTTTTTTTTTTTTTTTTAATTTTCTGTATATTTTGTTTATTCTTTCAGTTTTTAACTCGATTCACATCTAGGCCTATTCCCTCCTGGACTAGACGGTTGCAGAAACCCACTTTTCGACATGGGCGATCCGAGAAGCGTCGTGGACACTCCCATGTTTGCCAAAAAGAAACGTACGCACTATCCCAAACCCATTTAACGAATTTATAATTAACTTTAACCCATTTATTCCAGTGGGGAGACCAAAAGGGCAACATTCGGCACCGAGAGGAGGCCCGCCCAGATCCTGGACCAACGCGGAACTAACCGAGGCCCTGCAGCACGTCTGGAACAAGAAGATGACGACCAGCCAAGCCTCGAGAATATTCGGTATACCGTACAACTCGCTCCTGATGTACGTTCGAGGGAAGTACGGCAAAAGTCTTAAATTGGAACAGTTGAGGAAGGATTGTATAGGAGGACCCAACCCTCCTATGGACATGTTGAGCTCGTTGGGAGCGAATAATAATAATCTGGCGAAAATCGACAGGGAACCGGAACAGATGCAGCCCAACGCGAGACCGTCGAGTACGGATCAGGATCAACAACCACCACAACCATCTGTAAGTGTAATTAGTTATATTGATATTGCAAGCTTTATTTAAATTGTAGTGTTTGTATTTGAGTGGTTTGTTACAAATTGTGCAAAGTATTTTTCACCTACTCTTAATAAACAGATTATGGCTCATTGCATAAATAGGGTGTAAAAATATGGTATCAAACTTTAAATATAATAATAATAATAATAGCTCCTTTATATAGCGTTCAACGCCTTGGGAGCAGCAAGGCACAGCTTGCCACACATTGTTCGGTAGGTGGCGCACGCCCGGCAGAAAACGGAAGATGTAGAAACAGGCACTTAAAATTACTTGACAGCGCTATTGCAACCAGAACTAAGATCCATAACAGTTTTTCTGAGGAACACCCGCGGTTTTATTTCATTTGATACTTGGGCCCAATAAGGTATTTAATATAAGGGTTAAACATGTCGGTACCTTGCTTAACATGTTGAACACTTGCACATTACAGAATTGGTTTCTACTGAGTTTAAAAGGTAAACAGGAATTTTACTGTGTTTGTTACAGCCTTTGGCCTAGTATCTAAAATTGCTGGTCTATTTTAAATATACAGTTATTTATAAATAAATAAAAAAAAAAAAAATGTATTTTTTAATAAATGAGCAGATTCAATGTTTTTCAAACTATATCAGGGATTCCTATACCTATATGGCACAGATTTTGAATAAAAAAAAAAATTTTTTCTATAAAATGGCAACCAAGAGGGCTAGTGTCGTCAGGGTAAGTTTCTACTGACAATTAGTAGCTATTATCAAAATCGAAATTAGTTTATAGCCTCTTTATTTAAATTTATACCAGCTTACTTTATTTAATTTAACTACAATAGTTTAATAAATAATATTTATGCCATCGTCGTATTTATGATTCTATGGAGAAAAATGAAGAAGCAGTTCTTTGTTTTATTTTACGACAACCAGTTATTATAATGGATTTTTCTATAAAAGAACCTCAATTACGGCAAATCTAATTTCTTCACCTCCAACGGCAGTTTTCTGCCTCATTAGGTTTTTTATAAACTACACACTCTGCGAAATAGGACAAGTAGTTTTTCAACAAAAGTTTTTTTTTTCGTTTATCAGGAAGATTCCTATTTGGATATCTTTAAGCATAACCTCTTGAGGCTAAGAAATACCTTCAGCCACAAAATAAAATCACTAGTAACATATCCATTCGTTCCGCCATGCACCAGCCGGCAGCAGATACGGTTTTATTTTCCTTCATAAAATAAAGAATACTTATTATACTATTGTGGGTAAATTTAGTAAACTGTTTAAATAATAATTCCATAAACTAATGTCGATTTTGAAAAATAGTTACTAATTTGTTACTAAAATTGCCACAGACGATACCAGCCATCCTGATTGCCATTTTATTTAAAATCGCTTTTATTCAAAAATCTGAGATAAATAGGTATAGGAAACCATAAAATAGTTTGAAAGAAACACGGAAGCTACAACCTCTTTGCTTCGACTATTTAAAAAAAAATGCAGGGTGTTGCATTTGAACAAAGTTTTTAGTAAAATAAATCCTAAAATAGATCACCAATTTTGCACCCTGTATAAATTTAAGCAAGCAATATTTTCCAGTAAAGTTTATTTCTTTACCTTTTTAAACTCAGCACAAGAATTAATTTAAAAGTAAATGTACAGGGTGTTAATAATCAATTCCTTTGCAGCATGCATATATTTAAATATCTTTGGGAATATTAAAACCAAAGATTTTAAACATATTTAACCCTTATAATAAATGCCTTTTTGGGCCCAAGACTCCAAAAATTAAATTAAATTTTTTTTTTTTTTACGTAAAAAATATAACTTGGTATGGATCTAGTTCTGAGACATCCTGTATATTTCAAAATACTCTTAAATTGCAGTACATTGCCTCCCCACATATACCATAAAATATTTTGTTTCTATATTTTCCGTTTTCGTATAACTCAACCGAGGCTATTGAGGTGCGCCATCCTGTATATAAAAAGCACTTCGAAAAAATCGACATTAAAAAAACAAAAAATTAAAATTCACTATCCCCCCTTTCCAGATGTTCTCCCCCTTCGCCCACAACTTCTACCCCGATTTCGGCACGGGCTTCCCCATCCCCGTCAGCATGATCCACCTGCTGCCCCAGAGCGAGAAGAACCGCACCGAACAACAGAACGCTGCCTACGGGCAGACAGCGCCGCACGACGACGACCAGCCGAAGCAGCAGGCCAAAGACGTGGAGCAGGACGAGCAGGAATTGTACAGGCCGCAGCCGATGGCCGTCGACAGCAGGGAACTGGTGCAGCAGAACGGGCAGGATTGAAACAGGTGGCGCTAGTGGTTAGCTAGCGCGCTGCTTCTTCGTTAAGCGGGTAGAGGGAGTTACTTGCGTGTTTTGCGTTCGTTTTTTGCGTTTCGGATGGGTTTGTGTAGGTTCGGAGAGGAGAGTTATGCAGGTATCTGTTTTATTTATTGATTTTATTGATTTGAAGTAAAGAATTTATTGAAAATAGTTATTTAAACAAAGTAATGTTATCATAGCGAATTACATTTTTTTAATTAAAATATAATAAATTGTATACATATTATATCCAGTTTTAGCTTGGTATTTTTAAATGCTCAAACATTTTAAATTAAAATTCTAATCGATGAATAACAATAGATGATGCAGCCACTATCATACCGTTGATCTATTTAGAAAAATTCCTGATTGCAGTGTGCCTAGTTAGTACCAAGTATCGATGGTTTGAGATATATGCCAACCAAACGCCTATTTTTGTATATTATTTCAAATAGGCATAATATATGTTCAAAAAGGCTTTTTTTACAAAGCCCAACATTATTTACCATATTCAAACCAAAAATAATGGATTTATATTATTTAAATAATTTTTTTAATTAATTGTCTTTTTTCCTTTTCTTTCTTAATTTGTCTTTATTTATTTTGCCTTTTTATTGCTTTTTTTCTTTATTTATTGCTTTAATATAATTTTTCTTTACTTATTACAAATAAATCAAATAATTGCAATGACATTATTTTGTTTTGTTTTAAACTTGTTCGATTTTATTAATTTAATTGTACCAGTTACTATTTTTTTATAATAAATCATATCAATAAAAGAGATACCTGCAGAACACTTTGTGTCCGAATTTTAATGATTACCGTTATGGAACTATTTTTATAAAAGAGTGTAGGTTTTTAAACGTGTTCTGTTTGATTGTTGATTTTGTTTGTGTATAGTTATTGAAAATTGCGTTTCTACTTATTTTAAAGAGTCTTTGCTAGACTAAGATACTTATTTGTATGAAAAAAGGCAAAAATGTATATTGAAATATAATCTATTTATCAGCAAAAGTTTAGGCGTGAATATTTCCGGAAAAATATTTAAAAAATTAGATTTTTAAAAAATATACATTTAGTAATATTACCTTTTTAATTTACGCATATTTTGTCCTTCATAACTTTTTTCTATTTAAATTTAAGTATTTAAAAATTGTCTCGATTTATTTTATTTTAAGTTTGTGTTCTATATTAGGTTATTTATTTACTAACTCTTTCCATTAATCTTATTAACTGCTTTAACGATATTGGAACTACTTAATTAGTTTTCTTTGATTTAAAACATTTTCACTGATATTTCTAAACATTATCAGTTCCAGATTTCTAAACTAACTTTATAAACCAATTTTCTCTTAGGGAAAAATTTATGTAAATGTTTTTGACAAGACAATACATATTGTTAGTTCATTTTTGTTTTTAATTTTCAAAGAATATATCTCGATTATTTTTGACTTACTGAAAACAGTAAAGAGAAAAAGTGTTTTTATCGATCTACCAGCCCTGAAAGAGCTTGCATTTATTTAAGACTGTATAGAACCTTGTACAGATTTTCTTCTTCAAAATTGTGCCTTTGTTGCCAGAGCTTGAAGACCATCTCGGCAATAATCAAAAGGAGCAAATAATTCGATGCAAAACAATACACCACAAAATCGCAAATTTACTGTTGCTGATGAATCGGTAATATTTCTTGCTGAGAATACCAGAAAAACTCTTGGTCCTGCCAATCATAGTGATGAAATATAACTAGGGGCACATAATTAACTGTGAGGATTCACTGAGTGTTTTAGAACGCATCCAAAGTAAATTATTTGTTTATTTGGTTTGTAATCGATAGAAAACGGTGGTTATGATGTTGTTTATGTACCGTTGAAATATAGGTTAAGAGCTTCCTCAGTTCAAACATGTTAATTTCGTTTCGTACAAGCTGTCAGACGAGTTGCATTGAACAGTTTAAAAGAATCTATTTTTAAAGAATGAATTTTGTTGAGATAGTAAAATAAACGGGAATTGTCAAGTGCAAATTTGTTTGACATCGTCGGGATATTAGACAAATTTCGAAAGATTTTGTACATAAACTGGAAATCTTGTCGGAATTTGTTTCTTATAAGACTGATCTATCATTATGCCAAGATGTTCCGCGACTCGTAATTTAAAACTACAAGTACTACAATTTTATTTTTAAAAAAAAAAAAAAAAAAAAAAAAAAAAAAAAAATATTTACCAAATATTTACCTAATTCTATATATACAATGGTTTTCTGCTGAAAGATTATAACCAAATAGATCCTGTCTCGGCCACAGGATATATCCTTTTGATGACATTGAAGCTGCGATAATTAGTGATTTTTGCCAACAAATACAGTTTGTATAGTATACAGATATTTAAATAAATACAACCGTATTCTGTTTTAACACATACAAATATTTTTGAATTGAACTCCACAAGAAAAGAAATAGTTATTTGTTTTTCATTTTTATGCCGTACGTACAGATATAAGAATATTACCTACCTACTCAGAACTTTGTATTTTTACTGATACTACCATAGCTAGTTGGAACGGACTGAGTTTTGATTTGTAGTTAAAAACTTTGATTTAACTTTTTTCAGTGTTCAGTTAAGAAATTCCATTTGGTTTCGATTTTCAACGACGAAGTATCTTGGAGATATTTTATAATAAAAGGAACAGCTAAAAATCTACAAAAATGATTCAAAGAAAAGTCTAGATTAAAAAATAATTATCAGATAGAGTATAAAATGAAAATGTAACAAACAGAAACAATGTACAACCAGAGTATATGTGTTGACTTCGTGTCTGTATACAAATCTATCATAATATATAAAATTATATCATATAAGTGTCGTCACCAGTACTAAAAATTTAGAGTATGAAAAATTATGTATAAAATGTAATTTTAGGCAAAGAATGTGGGTATACGGTCAACAATGTACAAACTATCAAATCTAAACAAACATTTTGGCTTTCCAGATCAACCGCTTTTCGAAAATTCACTTAATAATAGTTTTTTTGTTAAATTCCCATGTTAAAGAAAGCAAATTTTTATAAAACAACTTCTTACTGCTAATTGGTATTTTCATAATTCAATAACATTATTCTAGGGTCAAGTGGTATAAAAATGAGACATTTTTCAAAACTTTTAGTTCTTTTCTTAGTATGTAATTAAGAAAAACAAAAAAAAAAAACTTCTATAAAAGGCAATTGGTGGTAACGAAACTATTGCAGAAGTAAAAATATACCAAAAATAAAAAAAAAAAAAAAAAAAAAAAAAAAAAGTGTTTCATAATATTAAACTCATAAAAAGTCTAAAAATGAGACATACATGAACATCATGACCAGTTAAATCATAAAAACCATCCACAAACTTAAAGATAAATAAATGTTTTTTTTTTTTTTAATAAGAAATATCTGTAACATCTGCAACAATATCTGGAGCCCATGCAAATGGCCCAAAGAGTGGACAACTTCAGTTATCATACCTCTACATAAGAGAGGTTCAACCAACAAGTGGAACAACTAGAGAACACTATCGCTTCTGTCACATCCCAGCAAGATAATGCTAAATGTAATAAATGAGCGTTTGAAATATTATCTCGACCCCAAACAGGATTTGTCAAAGGCAAAGGTACCCGTGAACAAATAACCAATGTGCGACAACTGATAAAAATGAAAAGTGGTAGAATTTAATGAAAATTAACTGTCATTTGCTTTGTTGACTATAACAAAGCATTTGATTGCGTCAAATGGATAAAGCTCTGGAGGATTTTAAGAGAAATGGGGGTACCAGAACATCATGTAGCATTGATCGAGAGCTTATATACTAATAACACAGCAAGTGTAAAAATGGATAAACACATGTCTGAACACGTTCAAACAAATCAAGGCGTCCGACAAGGGTGTATACTCTCACCCATCCTCTTTAATATATATGGGGAATATATGCGGAGAGCTCTAAAGAATGGAAAACCACATCCTATGATTGCATCTATCACACAACATTACCAGCACCCCAGTGAAGAAGAAATGGCGAGTTACTGTTGCGAGTGGAAAATGGAAGTGTTGAGATGGGACTAACTATAACTATCAACCGCCAAAAAAAAACGAAATTAATGTTCGTGGACAGAGGAAAACCCCTTACAAAGACCTTTCCAGCTTAATGGTATCGAAGTGGTTTATGATTTTGTTTATCTAGAATCAAACATAACCACTGTTAACAAAATAATGAGCAGAATACAATGAAGAAAACCAAATAGTTCATATATAACAAACTAAATTGAATACAAATTTATAATTGTTTCTAATACTTTTATAGAGTGGAATCCTGGACCATCAAAGCATCGAAAGTGCATGATATATCTTTTTAAATATGGTGCTACAGACGTATGCTGAGAATACCTTGAACAACTAGAAGAACGAATCTGTCAATAATAAATGAGCTATTTTTACAGACGTAACAAATTTTCAAAAAAAACATGGAAAAAATTATTATAACTGGTGATATCCAAGGAAAAAGATGTAGAGGTCGGTCCCCAACAAGATCGATCAAGTAAGACAAACAACGGGTCTATCCCTACACTCAGCTATCCATCGAACTGAAGACAGATTAGCCTTTATCAAAGACTAAGCATCAATTATGTGACACACTTATTTTATCTTATTTGATTAGGCGATGTTGTTTATGGTACATCCATAAATGCTAGATTCTCTAGAAAATCCAAATACTTCAAAACTCGTGTTTACGGTTTTCTTTTAACATTCCTTTTAGAGATCACATAACGCCACATTTTAATACTTACTCTATTTTGTCTGTTAGACGACAATTTCCAATGAAGACCATTTATCGAATTTAACTACAGAGTAGCCTTCCTATTTGTTCTCATTATTTCACTAAGTTGACCATGCTCATTCGACTAGGCAAGTGCATTACTTTAAAATTCCTCAACACCGAACTTTCCAAAAATCTTTCAGTTTCATAGCGCCACATTTGTGGAATAATATTTTTAATAACTTCAACCTTTTTACTGATTATAAAAACAAATCAAAATCATTTACTAAATTTAAAAAATTATAATTTTCAGACTGATTTGTGGGATCTGTGTTCTTCTCATATGCCCTTCATTGGTTGCTGTTCCGGATTTTACACTATTTCGTTATGCTTCTCTGCTTATCGCTCATCCCTGGTAAAATTATATTGTCACCTTTTGTTA